TAATAGTCAATTAATCATGTGCTAATGACTCACCTCGTTTTACGTATCTTTTCAATCTCCCCTATCTCCTCTCCTCAAACACAGCCATAGTCAAGTTGCCTGCCTTTTTGTGATTAGTTTTTCAAACTGGTTGCTGTGCGCCTCTGTTTGTGATATGGGGGCCACAGGTGGTGTGTGTACGTGAGATCACTTTGAGTCTTTGACAGGGAAATTAATTAATTAATTATAATTGCATGCAATGTTGCAAATGTGCCCTAGCCTGTGATGTGATGCAACCCTTTGCTTTTGCTAATTGCTTGTCATGCACGGCAGGCTAACCTGAAATTAACTGCCATGCCATGCAACATGACAATATGCCCTGTGTCATGTGCTTCTTCACTATTTGTATTTCGTACAGTGGTTGGGGTCGGGAGATTTCGTGAGCTTAATTCCAACCTCCGATTTGTTCTTCCATAACTGCTACATGTACGCTGCATAAAATAGACGGAATCCCAAACATACTGTAGAAGTGTTCATGTAAAGTGTTCTCCTAGTTAATATTGATTTTTTATTGTTACAATTTTAACCACTAATTAATTATTTGGCACCGGGATGATATCCTCGACATGATTGTAGAAGTGTTCAGGTGTGTAAAGTACTTCGGCTGTGTTTAGTTTGGTTGTGTTTAGTTCAGCGCAAAGTTTAGATTTTGGTTGAAATTGGAGATGATATGACTGAAAAGTTGTGTGTGTATGAAAGGTTGATGTGATGGAAAAAGTTGGAAGTTTGGATCCAATGTTTAGATCTAAACACAGCCTTCCTTGGTTTTCAAATAATTAATATTATTAAATTTTATTTGTTTCAACTTTGGCTAATATTTGTTGTTAAATAATTAGACTATAATTATTAAAAGTTTCATGCTTATATAAGGATGATATACCCTTTAACAATATGTTGTATTTTTTTTGTATTTGCAAATATATATTTTGCAAAAAAAAAAAGACAAGTGGTCAAAGCGTGAAAATGAATAGTACTTGTCCGTTATTAAAGAAAGCGAGGGAATTAATAGTAAATATATATTTAAATTTTCTACTTTGTGGAAATACAGTTAATAATAATAATAATAATAATAATAATAATAATAATAATAATAATAATAATAATAATAATAATAATAATAATAATAATAATAATAATAATAATAATAATAATAATAAGGTCTGTGCTTCCGTGTAAAATCGTGTAAAAGGAGTGCCCACGAACGCAACACAATGTCGCACTGGTCTGTCAGAAATTAAGCATCTTCAAAGAATCACATTTGGGATGGCATTGTACCTCCCAAGGACTGTAGGACGTACTTGCTATGACTAATGTGATTCTTTCCTCGCAAAAGAATGTGTGGTTCTTGTCCCCATGTACACCTATGCGCACAAGAATCACAAGTCATAGTGAAGTTATTCATATCTCATTTTAAGCGCAGCCATAAAGTTTCGCGTACAACTTTAATCGTCCGCCTAATTTAATTTTTTTAAAAAAAAATAAAAAAACATAAGTCACACATGAATTATCATTCATATTTTATCATCTAATAATAAAAAAATACTAATAAAAAAAATTCAAATAAGACAGATCATTAAAGCTGAACATGAACATGTAAACTCATTGTTGCGTTTAAGGGCCCCTTTGAATCAAATGATTTATATAGGAATTTTATAGGATTCAAATACTATAGGAAATTTTTCTATTTGGCCCTTTGATTCAAAGGATTGAAGCTTTCCAAATCCTATGAAATTCCTATAGAATGGCACATTACATGTGGATTTTAGAGTAAATTTAGCAAGAGCTCCAACCTCTTAGAAAATTTCCTTTGAGTCTATATCTCTCATCCGAATCCTGTGTTTTTCCTACGCTCCAATCAAACGATCATTCCTGTGTTTTTCCTGTGTTTTGCAATCCTCTGTTTTACACTTCAATTCCTGTCAGAATCACGTGTTTTTCCTATTCCTCCGTTTTTTTACCCTGTGATTCAAAGGAGCCCTAAGATGGGACTGTGGGAATAGTATTTTAGGCCCATGTGTGATTCTTTCCTCACAAAAGAATGTGTACGGAATAGTAACTTTAAGCACGCAGCACGTTATAACGGCGCTCATGAAACATTATATCTAAGCCGTCATGCAAGTTTAATTGTTTGGCCCGCAGGTAAACCATGATTTTAAATCTCCGGCTATAGATATGCCACTATTTCTGATTATACCTATTTAAGAAAGATTTTAACTATTTGCTTTTATATATAATTTAGTTGTTATAATTCTATTTAGAACGCCATAGCTATCGCTATAATTGTTTGAGAAGCCTAACCGCTAAATGTCTAAGCCCACTATTTAAAACGACGTATATTTAACAAACAACAATTTAATTTATAGTAAGACATTTATATTTTATTATTCACGGTTTAAAAGCTTTGGCTGGAAATTAAAATACGATAAACAAACCACAAAATCAAATTTAAAACTAAGTTTTAAATTAAGTTTTGTCAGTGATGGTCGAGTGTGGATTTATGTTTACTTCGTTGGAAGCGCAGGTCGCATGGCTAATTTTCCTCCGTTGATTCGTCCCTCATCCAAATATACTTCTCTTTCTAAGTAAAATTATTTGTCATCTTAAGGCCATGCACAAAGTTAGAGACGGGTATGAGCTCTACGCTATCTAGAGAGACTAACGTCATACAACAGTTGAAGACAATATGGTCTCTACCATTAATAAATGCTAAGAGTCGACTCTGAACCGTAGACCTGCATAACAACCATATTTCTCTTTCCTCCTTTCTCTTTCTTCTATACTATCAAATTTACTTTACTTGCATGATAATAGAGAGACCACTAATAAACACTGTTGTACATGCCCTAAGCAGAAAAAATATGCTATATGGTCATAAATATTTGACAGTTACAACGAGATTCAATTAAACTTTCAAAATTCAGTCCAAAAATTATGGATAGCCGGAATTTTAAAAGTTCAATTGAATCATATCCTGAACGTAAAATATGTATGACCGAAGGAAGTAATTTTTTTGGGTCGTAAAATGGCCCAAAATCACAAATTTTAGCATGAATCTTTCTTTAAAGTCCCCAAAAAGATTAATCTCTTGCAACTCACACCAGTCACCTCGAACCCAACACAAATATTACCTCATTTCGTCTATTTAAAAAATTTTATATAATTATTATTAATTTTGTTGTAATTTTTTTATCATATTTTAAGCACGATCTATATCTCATGCATTTGCATAAATTTTTTTAATGAGGCGAATGGTCGTTTGAAAAGTTAAATGCATCATTTATTTAAAAAAGAAGGGAGTATATAGCGGGTTACAGTGTGGTAATTGCGTTGGAGGCTAATTAACCTATAATCATAATCCAAGCAATTAACCAACCACGGCATGCAAAGCAACACGGCGGCATCTTCCCCCTCGTCTTCTTCTACCTCTCCACCCAACCCAATCCCATCCCATCCATTGGGGCCACCACCACCTCGCACACGTTCCGTGCAACATGTGATTGCTTTGCTTCCCTGATTGATCGACCTCCCTCCTCTCCTCGCGGTCAACACAAAATCCGTGCAAAATATTCCCGACCGGGACGAGCTCCTCGATCAGGGGCCCTCCCTCCCATCACACGCTTGACCACCATCCCTCACACGATTGATGTTTGTTTCTAATAAAATTAAACATAAAGTTAAATCACGTAAAACAAAATCAAAATGTTTTAGCGCAACGCTTGAAAAATAAATTTATTTGATATTTTTAGATTAACTTATGTATAGCAAGTTTTCGTATGAAACATATTGTTTTAAAACGGACCGAAATTTGTGTTAACAGAAATCAACATTTTAAAATGTGTATCTTAATTAGAAATGCGCACTACTCACTCCTTTTACATAGTAAAATACATGCTAACGAAAATCAATCTATATCTTATTAGAAATGGACGCTTCTTACTCGTCAGAGTCTCCTAGTCCTCCAAGCTAAGCTGACCCATACTCTACCACCAAGTTGCCCTAGCTACTAGTAGCTAGTAGTTAGTTCTCGTTTCATTTCCATTTCATTTCACCACCAACAATTCTGCTGCATATGCACCATCAACTTCAAAGTAAATTAAGCTGATCGTTTGATCTCCGTACGGCTGAAAAGCACTGGAAAAATAGATTAAATAATCGGAAATAATTTATTGAGAGCAAAACTTTTATAACCGTATCTAGAAAATGCTGGAAAATAAATCACGATGAAAAAATACCCCTCAAAATCAATTTTAAAATTTAAACTTTTGTTTACGGAAAATCAATTTTAAAATTTAAATTTTTTGTTATGGCTGATAGGGTAACAAGTAGGCGATGGGAGGATGTTGCCTCCTGCTTTCCTTCATTTGTTTCTCCATCTCCATCCATCGTCTTCAATTCTTCGGTTCTTCCTTGCCCAACATTCCAACCTTTTTTACCTTTTTGTTTTGTGTGAGATGGAAGTGGACCCACCAGTTAATTAATTGATTTATTATTAATCTCCATTGTCATAAGTGGTGGCATTGTGAATTAATCATGCATGCTGATGCCCCTATTGCATCCGGTTTGGTGGCATATCCCTAGTGATTAATCTAGTCAGACGACCGTGTTGGATGGGAGATTGAGAGAGAAAGGGAGAAGACTGACCCAATTGGTTGTAATCAATCCAAAGCAATTGAGAAAAATGGGAGAAGATCAGAAGATTCCCTTTAGCTTCCCATCGCAAATTTGCCATTTTCGGCCGGCTCTCGCAACATGTTCAATGATCTTATAGAAATTTATATGAAATCAAGATAGTTATCTTTTAAAAAATTCGAACAAAGAATACGAGATTATCAACTCTTTTGATAATGCGCGGGGTTTATGAATATGATAAAAATTTAGGACATGTGAAATTGATTCTTAGAATTAAAAAACCTAGGACGTGTCAAACTGAATCTCCCACAAATCACAATTTACACATTTGCTTGGGACCAACTTAAGTCAAACTGAATTTTGTAAAAAAAAAATCTAATCCAATTTAATGCGAATTTGCGATTGAGCTCACCGAATTTGGGACGAGCACCGCGGGTGCGTGTGGCACTGTGAAATAAAACACAAAACAAAAAACAGCAGATTAAAAATCAGATACATTAGTTTTAACAGATCTTGAGCTACACTGAACACTCTTGAGCTACTCTCTGTCTTGTCCTCCTGCATTTTTTTTTTGGGGGCGATTTCGTTAAGCAAACTTACAAACAAAGCTTAACCCTGCCTCTTTCTTGCTACAATCTTGCAAGGCTTGCCTTGCCTAGCTTAGTCGGAGGCGTCGCCGGCGGCGGCGCCGCCGTTCCGGCTCGTCGTCTCCTGCTCCCTGCAATGCTCCGCCGACGCATCCGTCACGCAGCTCGACGACACCGGCGACGCCGCGCGGCGCCGCCGCGCGTCGGCGCGGGCGAAGAAGTCGATGAACCGGACGCCCGCCGCGGCGTCGTCGGCGCGCTCCGTGGTGGCGTCGTCGTCGTCGGCGTCGGCGGTGGGGCTGGCTGTCGACGCGGCCGCGGAGCCTTTCTTCCGGAACACGCGGCAGAGCACCCAGCCCTCGGCGGGGCGCGCCGGGTGGTCGGCGGTGGCGGCGCGGCGGCACGGGGCGAGGCCGGCGCCGGCGAGGCGGTACTCGTGCATGACCCAGTCCGTCTTCTTGCCGGTCGGCGGCTTCCCGCGGTAGAACACGAGGGAGCGCTTCATGCCGACGACGACGGCGGCGGCCTGGCTCCTCGGCGCCGCCGCCACGGACACCGCCACCGGCTTCTCCTTCCCCGTCGCCTTCCAGTACCCGGCGCCCGTGGCGCGGTTGGCGCGGCGCCCCTTGACATACTTGGCCTCCTTGCACGTGAAGAAGTACCTCTCCTGCTCACTCCACCCTGCACGCACGGGACCTCGTCAGCGCCGGCCGGCCACACTCCGACGACGCCGCGCGACGGCGGCGAGCTGGCTCATGACTCACCTGGAGGAAGCAGGTCGGAGGGGTCATGCGCGAGGAGGCGGACATCGGGGATGTCGACGGCGGGCGGGAGAGGGGAGCCGAGCGCGCGGCGGCGGAGGTAGTGCACCACAAGCTCCTCGTCGGTGGGCCTGAACCTGAACCCCGGCGGCAGCTTCTTCGCCGCCGTCGTCTCCATCGATACACCTCGGCAAAATCAAGAACTCAACCCAAGCAGAGCACCAGATCGCCGCCGCTCGCCACCGTCTTGGCCTAGCCGAGCTGAGCTTGTCGCGGGTGTGCGGGGAGTAGAGGCGGGGGGAGAGGTGGAGGAGGGAGACGAGAGGGATTTATAGCGGGAGGAGGAAGGTGTTCGACGCGGGGCGGGGAGGGGGGAGCAGTGGCGTGAGGAAGACTCAAGCTCGGGAGCCGAGCTGAGCTGAGACGACGCTGTGTCACTGTCACTTGCGCTGTCGCGTTGCTCTGCGGCGCAAGGCAGCGACCACCACGGCACCATGGATGGTTGGATGGTTTTAATTGTGGCGCTGCCTTCTACGGCGATTTGGAGTGATTTTTTTCATCTTTGGCACGGTGAGGAAGAAACGAAAAAGAAAAGGAAAGAAAGAAAAACAAAAAGGGTGGGTTGAACTTGGGGGAGTGTGTACAAGCAAGTTGTTGTGTATCTCTTTGGCATAAGTTAAGTATAAGAGCAAGGCTAATAGTATAGCCCGCTACTGGCTAATAGCCCATAACTAAAGCCAACTACTAGTACAATAGATTGTCCATTAGCTAGCTGTATCTCATAATCAAATAATTAATTATAATATACACATATCTATGTATGTGATCAGTAGTAAATTGTATCCTTGTAGCTATTTGTGTTGTTAGATGAACTTTGTTCACCAAACACCAACATCATTTCACAGATCATACCAATCAAGTTATCTGTTGTATAAAAATTACTACATACAAAGCACTAGTGTTTCGTGGGCAAGAAGAGCTCACGAGGAAGGAGTATATTTCCTAGCCGGATTTTGTTGAACGGTGTGGCGTGAGAGTTTTTCACCGGGCGAGTTTTTCGCTGACGAACGGACGACGATTACGCACGGACGATGGAAATGGATTCGCGCACGGTGGGGAGGGGGGGAGGGGATCGCGCGCCGCACGGGATCGGGCTGAGGATGTGCGGGCCCCACAAACCGCGTTGTTTAGCGCTAGGGTCGACTGCTCACGAGCGATACGGCGTGGAGAGAAGCGCTAGCGCCCTGCGATAATTTAGTCGCTCGCTTCATTCTCTCTCATCCTTTCTCTCCCATCCACATAGGAAAATGATGATGTGGCACTGTTTTAGAGCCCGCTGAGTCAGCTTATTGTACCTGCTCTAATGAGTTCTGTGAATCTCAAAACATGTGGAATTGTGGATGGTTGTAGTGGGTTATATTAGTTTGTTGTGTGTTGTATATGCGGCGGCTGGAGTGTTTATATTGTTTTTATCTAAGAGAAAATGTGGTGCCGAAACTTGGGGCTGGGATTCAGCTTGAGTTTTGTGAATGTATAGAATTGAATTGTTCTTTAAGGTTTGGTTGTTTGAGAGAAAATTGTTGTATAAAGTTGGTCATAACCGATGTGGTATATACTATCGTGGAGAAATAGTGATTCATCTATTTGTGTGAGGAACAGTAAGATATTTAAGATGTGGTGAACTTTTTTGCATTTTTGAAGAAATTAAACCATCTCTTGTAAATTCCATGTATTTATAAGTTGCTTGATGGATCCATAAACTTATTTGCTCTGCGACGCAAGGAAGCGCCCACCACACCATGACAGATGATTAATTGAGGCAATGCCTCTAAGGACATTAGAGAGATTAGGGAGTGATTTCTTTTGGCATGGTGAGGAAGAAACAAAAAGAAAAGAAAGAAAATGGGTGGGTTGAACATAGGGGAATATGTGTAGTTGCAAGTTGTGTTTCCATGGATCACCTCTTTGGCATAAGTTAAAAGTAATGAGTTATGCAAATCTTAAAACGTGTGGAATTGTGTAAGGTTATAATGGGTTATATTGGGTTGTTGTGTGTTGTAGATATGGTGGCTAGAGTATTTATTTCTTTATTTGATGGAAAATATGGTGCCGAAACTTGAGACTGAGATTCGGCTTTAGTTTTGTGAATGTGCAGATTTAAAATGGTCTTCCAGGTTTGGTTGTTTGAGAGAAAATTGTTGTACAAACTTGGTCATAAAAAACGATCTGGCACTATTGTTGAGAAATAGTGATTCATCTATTTGTGTGAGGAATATCAAGATATTTAAGGTCTGGTGATTTTTTGTAATTTTAAATAAACTAGGAAGGTAGCCCGCGCGAATGCGCGGGCATGACCGTAAGTTTGAGACACTTATAATAGCGAAATATTAACCGGAGAACATCTACCACGATTTCTCCGTAAATTGTTTTTGTCAGCATTAACTTCTTCTATAATTTTCTAACCTCCTGCTTTATATTATATCATATTTAAGTAATATCTATAAGCAATTATTTGTAATCTTCTTCGTCATTTGAAAAGAAGGTAAACTTATTTTCTTTAGAAAATATGTCAATGAAAAGTAAGTACTAAGGTATTATTCTTTTTTTAATTGAATATATATTATCATGGTTCATTCGAGAATGAATTGGGTGGGACATAAAGCTCCACTTAAAGTATGGATGTATATAGCTTAATATGACTAATGTAGTTTGAGACACTAAAACAAAACATCAAATAGATGCCGGCACTATATAGGTGCCGAAAATGTTAAAACCGGCACCTATATAGATTTTCCCACCTCTGCGGGGTGAAAAAAAAAGAAAACCAGCACCTTTTATAACTATAGGTGCCGGTTCTAAATAAAACCGACACTTATACTACAAGTGTCGGGTTTTTTTAAATGTGATGTACCATGAATACACACTTGTTTTTTCTTATATAAGATAGATCTAACGGTTAGAAATAATGTTTCCACCAATTTAAAAGGCATAGGATTATTCCGAAAATGTAGCTTAAAAATTATGGTTGTTTTAATTCCAACATTACGAAGTGAACATAGCTCAACTGGTTAGGTTCCTTGTGGTGGAACTTGTCCACTCGGGTTCATGTCCCAGATTTGACAAATTCTTTCAGTGGTAGGCGATGTGGCCGTTGATAGCGAGGCGTAGTGGTAATTTCGTCAATCTCAAAATATGTCAGACTAGTCTCTTGGAAGTACTCATAGGGGTAGTGTGCACACATTGTGAGCGCCTGCATTTGTACTTTGTTTCTAAAAAAAATATCAAACAATATTTATTGTTTCTCTTTTAATTAAATAGATAAAACAATAGAGAACCACAGTGTTGTGTACATCTTAGTGTGAGGAGAAGGTGGAGATTTTATTTTTCTATTTTTTTTCTAAATGATTTAAGTGAAAGCTGATGACAGGATGTTTCATTTTTTCTAAAAATTTCTGAGATTTTTCCTTTTTTTTATAGAATGTGACATATGGCAACTTAAGATTTGTTTTTTTAAAAAATAGATCTAATAGTTAAAAATAATGTATACGTTAATTTAATGATTTATTAGTGCTCTAAACGGTATTTAATTGATTTTTTTGTTATGTACAGTGATTTGGTATAATATAATACATATGTTCAATTAATTTTTAGTTCTTTTTAAATTGCCATGCAAATGATAGGGTGTACCATCAAATGATATATTTTAACTTTTATATAGTAAAATATAGCTAATGTGATCTTGATTTATTTATTTAGTTATAAATAAAAAAATAGTTATATTATGTTAGTTAAAAAAAAGAAGATGAGGTAATTGAATTGGAGAGGAGAGGATGGGAGAGTCAGAACCTCAGAGATATACGCAAGGCAGGAGGATGGGAGGAGATTATTCTTTTTATGATAGATCCATAGAATATATATGACCCAAAGTAATGAAGTCGTGAACTTCGATCTTCAATTGTACATTTTATAGTAAATAATATAATATAATGGTGCACACCAATAAAGAGTTAGCTATATGATTTAGATAATGTAATTGTTTAAAATTTGCTATCCTAAAATTTTTTTCCATCTAACAAAACAGGAAAATAGGAGAGAAAGGTAATAGGTGGAGAGGTACGTAAACACAATGGGTCCACCGTATATTAGTGAATGTCGATATCCGGATGTTTTATTTATTCTCGTAATTTTTGTGATTTTTTCTAATTTATTAAAATACTACGTGGCGGCGTAGCAGCGTTTGTAGAAGTGCTACGTGGCGGCTTAATAGCGTGTATAGAATATTTAATGGACAAAGAGCTAAATATGCTTCCATCTGATAATTTTTAAATTAAAATATAGTTAATATCAAATGTAGTCATAATATTTTCTCAAATACATTTAATTTAGATAAGTTTATTTGGGGACGGGTGAATGTTGCTAGTAGAGGGAAGGACGGTGCGTAGTATCTACACACCCAGGGGAAACTTTTTTTCTCGATCCGGTGAATAGTAGTACGTATTGTATATGTGAGAATTTTTTTCAGTTTTTGGGTGAACAGTACATATCACTCGTAACAATTAGGTGGGACAGTGGTAGGGTTAATCCTTCTTTTTTCAATCGTAATTATATTTTTTTCCTTTTTCCATGAGTAGCAAAGTACGGAAGCACGTATATATATGTACAACTATTCATGAGATTTTTTTATTCGGGGAGGTTACATGGGATGTATTTTAAATAAATCTAATCTAATGGTTTAAAAATAGTGGGTCCTCCAATGAAAATGAGGGATGGATGTTTTTCTTTGTTTCCTCGGAATTTTTATGGTTTTCTCTAATTTATTAGACCGTCACGTGGTGGCGTAGAAGCATTTGTAGGAGTGCCACATGGTTGTGTTTAAGAGTATTTATAGGAATCTTAATGGACTTTTAGTCTCTAACGTTACCTATTGTATGTCGATCCGATTTGTCGTGATGTATTTAAGACTATAACATAACTTGTATACACCGTTAGTTTATATAATTAAATGAATACAATGGATCATATATTGGGTGTATAATTAAAAATAATTTAAAAGATGATGTTTACAGACCATTGATTTATTTGATATTTGATATTTATATTATAGATCTAGCTTACATGCATATACTTCAGTGTATTATGTAGTATTATATTTTATTTTTATTTTATATTATACAAAATCCTATTCTAAACCGTCGTTTTTTCCACCTGTACAAAGTATGCATTTTTTGGGGGTATATCATTTTTTATCATATATAGATGTCTATTTTTTTTCTTCCGGCCAACAGTACCAGTTGCATAGTTTATTTGGAGGAAAAATTATCACATTTTTAATAATCCACCAATCTAAACACAAATCGACAGTGAGATTAGATCGTGCCATGTGGTGGCCTTGGAGTGTTTGTAAGAGAGCCACGTGGCTGTTTGAGAGCATTTGTAGAAAGTTTAGTAGACTTTTAATCTATATATGGGCTCTGAACTAATAGGATTAAGCGTAATTAACTCACTAAGGATGAAATTCCGCTTTTTAAATAACGTTTATGATGTTAGGCCATTCATCTTCTTTAAAATCGATACGGTTTTTTTCTTAGGAGGGTATCGAAGCACATCTCACATTAGAGAAATGTTTTAATTCGGTGAATAGTATGAGTACGTATGTACACAGGATTTGTTTTAGCTATTTCCCAGGTGAACAGTACTACTATGTATTTATACGTACACACGATAATTTATTTTTTTTGGGAGGCATTATTTTTTAATAGATCTTGGTCTAATGATACAAACTAATCCACCGATTTAAGTGAAAATCGAGGGTTGGATGTTTTATTTTTTTTGGAATTTGTAGGATTTCCTATTATAATTATATAATTTTTATACTAAGACAAATAATTAAATATACGCTGAAAAGTCAATAACATAAAAAAAACAGATCATGTGATATAAATATATTGTAGGGTATTACAGATGAAAATAAACGTAAAAGGAAAAAATAGGAAGTAAAAAAGGATGGGTACGTACGCAACCTGCTTTACAGGATGGGGCCGCAGGCGCAAGTACATGTGGGTAGATGAGAGGGGGAACTAACTTTTTTTTTATCTAATCTAATCTAATGGTCTAAAATAAAGATCCATTAATTTAAGTGAAAAATCGACGGCTAGATATTTCTAATATATTAAAATGCCACGTGGCAGCATAGGAGGGGTTTGAGGAGTCCTACGTGGCGGCTTGAGAGCGTTTGTAGGAAGTTTAATGGATTTTTAGTTTATAATAGATAGATAGATAGATAGATAGAAGATAGATTGAACCTCTCCTATAAAGTTATGTGTTTTTATTAGCTCCTTATTAGACCCTTGCTCTGTAGCGCAACGTAGCGACCACCACGCCATGATGGATGGTTAATTGGGACGCTAACTTTACAGCGATAGGAAAGATTGGAGAGTGATTTCTTTTGGCAATGAGGAAAAAAAGAACAGAAAGAAAAAGTGTGGGTTGAACTAAAGGAAATATACCTAGCAAGTTATTTTTCCATCGATACCTTCTTCACCGTAAGTTAAGCATAATATATAAGTTATGCAAAAAGCAAATTAAACGTGTGAAATTATGGATGGTTGTAATAGGTTACAGTAGATTTTGTGTCTTTTAGATGCGTTTATTTCTACTTGATGGAAAATGCATGTGTCAAAATTTATCGGATTAGAATTTGGCCTTACTTTTGTTAATGTATGGATGTGAAATGTTATTTGAGGTTTGGTTGTTTGAGAACAAAATTGTTGTACAACGTAGATAATAAAAACTGACGTGGCAATACTGCAGAGAAATCAATCATAAAAACAGTTGGTTGTCTAAATTCGTAGATGTACGATATATATCACATTATGTACTAAGTGTATTTATTTTGGGACAGAGAAAGTATTTATGTGAGGAATGGTGATGCCTATTTAGGACGTGGGGAGTTTTCCACATTTTAAAGAAATTAAAGTTTGCTCATGCAAAATTCTTGTGTCGTAAATAGGCATTACACGCTGGACCCCCTTAACTTGTTTGGTGTTATATCACTGAGGCCATTTTCTATTCAGCTTCCTAAGCTTTGCAGGCGTTTGTACGCCAAGTCAGTTTATGGAACGGAATCAAATGATGTGGCATCCAATTTTCGTTAGGTTGGCAATGGCTGATTTGGACCACTTTTACGGTGACGTGGCAAAATAGGCCAGCATGTCAATGTCTTGCACTCTTCCCTTATTCGTAGCTCACACGGTCACACCCCACCATTGATTTTCAAGCGGTTTTAGGGCCTGTTCAAGATTAATTTCAAAATAAACCTTTTCAAATTTTGGCAATACTAATATTTTTATAAGTTTGACAATGTTACCAAATTTCGGTAGAACAGGATAATATGTTGTTGTCAGAATTCACTATGCATTATCAATGTTTGATAACAAACTAAATGCATCCATATATTTGTTAATTTTACCACATGGTATGGTTTAAAATGGTACTAATCTGAATAAGCCTTAGTGTATAAATCTTTAATAACTCTATTTTTGTATCCTCTTCAACTTAAAGAATTGTCTTTTTAAGTAATATATTTATGAGATTTCTTTAATATTACTTTATTTTCTCTCGTTTTAACCATTTAACAAGCAATATTTTCTTCTCTTTCTCATTTTTTTCTCCATATTGATGAAGGGCATATTAGTTTTTTTTTGTTTTCTTACTTAATTTACCTTTTAGGGACGGAGGGAGCAAAGAATAATTACCTGGGTAGAAATGGAAAATCCATGGAAATTGAACAAAAACAACAAAAGAAAATATAGGTAAAACTTTTTTCTTTTGTTGTTTGCAATGCTAAAAAATAGACAATGATGAAAATAGTCCAAAATCAACTCTAAAATTTTAAAATTCAAAATTTGGTTGTAGGTGATAAGTTAACAAGTAGATAATGAGATTGAAAAATGTTTCAATTTCACCCTCCACAACTCATTTCAATTTCCCCTAGTAATGTTTTTGTAAAAAAAAATAATGGATGAGATCCGGCCTTCACTTCAACGGAACCTACAACCAATTATACAGTTTTTTAGCTTAAAGGCAAATAAAAAATAGCTACCGTAGGATGAAAAGGAAGACAAATAACCACTCCGTCAATAAAAGAAGATATACAACTCTTGTCTGGACAATAATCATATTTAAAAATTTCCATCCAAAGTTAACGATAATCTATATTACCGTGTTCTCTAAATTTGTGCATGCAAGATGAATGGATTCCTTCTCCTTATCACACCTTTATAGATTGCTTAGAACCCAAGTCGGTATGTTGCTCCGAAAAATACTTGTACATAATATGTAGTTGGAGCTTTGTCAAAACCATATTATTCATACTAAGTCACAAAGCTTAATTTGAAGCCAATACTCCTAGCTATTAATATAAGTTTTTACACATATATAACTACGGACACAATTGCTCATGTAATACGGTCGTTAAAAGTTAACTCTAGTATCACCCTCGAATAACAGTTATTATCACAAATTAAATTTATAATAGTTAATTTATCATACGTATCACAAATAATGACCACAGTTTATTCGCAGGCTATTCAACCATTCGACTATGGCATAAGTACTGCCTCCGATCCATAATATAAATATTTTTAGAGTTGGGTATAATTATTAAAAAAATAGGTAGAAGTGAATAATGGAGTGTTGTGATTGGTTAAGTAGTGAAGGCAGATAGGAAAAGTGAATGGCGGGGGTTGTGATTGGTTCAAAAGAAAGTGTTGGTGGAGAAGTTGTTATATTTTAGAATAAATATTAAGAGTTAAAAGTTGTTATATTTTAAAACGGAGAGAGTATCTCAAATTAACTTTACATAAGTAAATGAGAATGGATCGCGATAAACGAGAACTGAGACGAAGGCAGGCAGGCAGGTGGTGGTGGTGACATTGAATGTACTGTATACTACCACTGACTACTCGGGGTCGGGGGTAGCTGGAGGTATCCGGCATGGCGGCATCTTGACGTTGTTGGAACTCGAGCAAAGCCGGTCAAACTTGTGATTCTAGAAACGACACAGCCTCCTCCTTGTGTAATGGTGGAGCTGAGTGTGTACTGTTACTGTGGCTGTCTGCCTACCTGCAGGCTGCAGCTGCTCCAGAGAAGCAGGGCCCGTTAGTCCATGCAATACTAAGAGTACCCGCAATGGTAAAGTAATGTGCTATCTATAAAACATGTACATCTCAGCAATAGACTCGATTAATAGTAAACCACCTTAATAGTATGTCTACATTGGTATCTATAGCTCTCTCATGCATTGCCTCGTTTTTCTCTATAGACTATCTCTAAGTTAGTAGATAGTTTTGCTCTCTCTCTTCATTTAATACATTCCAAGTAGGAAAATATGCTGACATGGATCTCTTGTAGAGAGCCTATAGATAACCATTGTGGGTGCCCTAAGGGCAGTAGCAGTGTAAGCTATGGGGTCTATACCCATAAGGCCCTAGCTCAAAGTCACAGTTTAAAGACATTCACCCCACAATACAAACACCCATATATATATGTGGTTTAATTGGATGGAGACACAGGTGGAGGAAATCGAGCCCACAGTGCAGCGTTACCCAAGCATGTGGACACGAGGTACGGGACGAAATTTCTTCCCCACCTACCCCTTCCAGCTAGCGACTTTCTCCTCCTCTACTCCATCGCCGTCGCCTGCCTCTCATCCCGCGCCGCTTCGCTTATCCTCCCGCGCCGCCGCTCCACTTCTCCCCCGCACCTCCTTCCCCTCCCTTCGGCGGCCGAGGCGGATGTGGTGGCTGTAGCGGCGGATGTGGTGGTCGACGCAGACGGATGTGGTGGCAGCCGCGCCTCCTTCTCCTCTCCTCCCAAGCAGCAGTCGGCGGCGCGGTCTTCCATAGTGAACGCGAGGAGGACGAAGAGGTAGGGGAGTAGATCCGGCAGGCGGCAGCGAGTTCTTGGCGGCAGCGAGGAGGAGGAGGAGGAGATGGGGGCGTAGATCCGGCGGGCGGCGGTGGCGATGAGGAGGAGGAGGAGGTGGGGACGTAGATCCGGCGGGTTTTTGGCGGCGGGTTCTTTGTGGTGGAGGCGTCCCCGGCAGCGGGTTCTTGGCGGCGGCGGTGGGTTCTCATCCGGCCCCATGGAGGACGTCATCACCGACGCACCGCCACCGTCCCGCTTCTCCCCGGACGCCTCGACAACTTTGCCGCGCCGCCTCCTCATCCACCTCATCTCCCCTACCTACGGTGACGGTGGGCGGCGGGCGACGGGAAGCCGCGGCGAGGAGGCCACGGGCGCGCGTCGGTGCATCCTGCGAGCGGTGCGGTTGGCGGCGGCTCACCGGTGCGCGGGATTTTTTTTGCGGCGGAGGAATCGTTGGCGGCGGATTTTTTTTTCTTTTTCATCATGTGGTTTACATACGTCTCGATTTGTTTTGTTGAATCCATCTTCTTTGAGTTCTTCTCTTCCAATCCCGAAAATTTTTGTTTTGTTGAATCCGTCTTCTTTGAGTTCTCTTCCGATCCCGAAAATTTTCGTGCCTTTTCTTGACTTGGTGGCCGGAGAAAGAGTGGCTGTGGTGGGAGTGGATTTTTTTTTTGGGGGGAGGGATTCTGGGTTTTCACCCCGCTAGGGCACGCATGTGCGAGGTGACGCTGCCCACAGCACGCGTGCCCGGGGATTTTGGTGTCGCACGCTCCCTCGCTTGGACCAGGGTCCGCGCGGCTTTGCTTGGGGCCAAGGGGCTCTGCTAGGGCGCGCGACCATGCTCCACGCAAGCACAAATCCTCGCTGGCGCGGTGTAGCACCGGTCCACGTCACTGCACTGTGAGAGGCCTAAGGGCACTCACGGTGCAAGCACCCACTGTGAGTTACCATAAGATGACAGCTAGGACAAAGAGCTTTGAAGACCCTCTCTTTACAGTGCAAGCACCACGTGTTGGACCCACAAATATCTTCTAGTGGGACCCACAAACCCCCAACTCCTCACCGGCCAAATCCCCAAATCCTCCACCCCCAAATGCCACTCTTCCCCGCTGGCTCTCCCTTCCTGCCTTCACCGGTGCCGGCTCCCCTCCTCCCTCCGCCGGCGCCGGCTCTCCTCTCCTCTGGGCCGAGCAACGGCATCGTCCTCCGGGCCGAGCGGCGGTGGCGGCATCCTCCGGGCCGTGCGGCGTCGTCCTTGAAGAAGTGGCAGAGCTCGGCATCGACGGGCTTGACGCGCGTGGCGGCGGAACTCAGCGTTGACCTAGCCAAGGCGGCGACTAGGAGGAGGAGGAGGTGGGGGAGTAGATCCAACCGGCGACAGTGATGATGAAGCCGCAGAGCCCGCTCTCTCCTCGGCGCGCTCGTCCTCGGCGTTCTTGGGGGCAGCTCATGAATGGGCAGCACGATCAACGGTGCTGCCTCTCCTCACCGTCGACCACGCGCGCACTGATGAGCCTTTCCCCTCCCTCTCTGTCCGCTGCCCCTCCCTTCTCCCTCCCCCACTCCATCCCGCCGCCGCTGCATCCATCCCTCCACCGCCACCATTTTTGTTTCTTGGGAGCTCCTCGGCGAGGGCGATCTAGGGTTTTCTCTAGCGGCGTCGGCGCGAGGGCACGGGGCGGCGAAGGCACGCTGCCCACAGTGCGCGTGCCTCGCGATTTCGGCGTCGCGCGTGGATTCGCCTCGACAAAGTTTCGCATTGCTATGCTTGGTCACGAGTTTCCGTGTTTGGTCCCGGGTGCACGCACCACGTCGACGAAAATCCTACATGGCGCAACAAGGTTCCGCTCCACGTAGGAGCACTGTGAAAGGCCTAAGGCCTTGTTTAGTTCCCAAAAACTTTTTCTCAAAAACATCAAACTGAATCTTTGGACACATGCATGAAGTATTAAATATAGATAAATTAAAAAACTAATTGCACAGTTTGCATAGAAATCGTGAGACGAATTTTTTGAGCCTAATCAGTCCATGATTAGCCATAAGTGCTACAGTAACCTACATGTACTAATGACGGATTAATTAAGATTAATAAATTCGTCTCGCGGTTTCCATGCGAGTTATAAAATTAGTTTTTTCATTCGTGTCCGAAAACCCCTTCCGACATCCGGTCAAACGTCTGATGTGACACCCAGAAATTTTCTTTTCGCAAACTAAACAAGGCCAAAAGTGTGTGATTTCTCACTGTGGCCTTTTCTTCACATGCGCGTGCATCGAAACTTTAATAATACTACTATTAAATTTTGGTATTATCAAATTTTATTAAAATAAGATTAGAATATATAAGTGATGTTTAGTTTAGTTAAGGCCATACTAATTTTGGTACACCCTTCAACCCAATATAAATGCATCCTAGTACGGATATCAACATATCCTAGTACCATAAATCTGGACCGATATTCTTTCCAGATTTGTATTATTAAAACATATCACATCCATATTAGGTTGCACTTATATTGACAGAGAGAGTAGAGCTTTTGAGGTACGTACAAAGGTGATGTTTAGCTTATTTGGCAATGCAGATCCAATGCACCGGTGATCGGGCCCGGGTGAGGAGGCTGAAGCTGGAAAACAACGTCGAGACGATGTAGTTGAGGCGGTACGGAAGATGGGTGATCCTGGGTGTATGTCACGTAGAGTGGATCGGATCGGCACAGTCACATCAGGGGTGTGGGGAAGGAGATCGGTAGGCTAGATTTGGGCCGGTGCCACGACTAGTTGGTGTGCCTTGAGGATTTTGACAGGTGTGGAAGTGGCGGCAGTTGGGAGATGATGCATGGGTGCTAGCGATTGAGGTAGGCATGGCAGTTGTCCGAGTTGACTTGTCCTATGTAGCATTCCTCTTCATCTCTAGGGAGCTCCTCCTCCTCCCATGTTATGGTCGATCCCTCTGGTCGTGGGGAGCTAGATTGACGAGACGATGGCGGTAGTGGTAGGGGTAAGGGATGCTCCGGTGGCGTGGCTTTGCGGGATCTGGCAGAAGGCGGCAATGGTCGCACTGCAGGGCAACAAATCTTGGTTTGGTTTGGCCGGTGGTGGGGCAACAGTACGGCTAAGATGCGTGCTAGCGGAGTTTGTTAGGGTGATGGAACCTAGGGGTGGCAGTGGCAGGTGCAAGAGAGGGTTTGGTAGGCAAAAGCCTAGCTCGTGATTTCCTGAGCTGGAAACGACAACGTCTTCGGACATCGTGACCCCCTTGGGGCGTGGTTGAGGTACCATACTCTCTCTAGATAAAAACCCAATCTAGTTGGACAAGATATGGTGGCACCTAAGCATAGTCATTGAGACTGAACCAGTAATTGAACCGGTGAGGCTCTTGGTTCGATGGTTCACTGGTTCTACCGGTTGAACCATTGGTCTAACCCAGTTCAATAGTTATTAAATATATTATTCGTTCCTTTAAAGCACAAGAAGGATGATAGCCTAGTGGTTGATGAGCTTCCTCCCTCACACGTTATACTGTGTTCGAATCCGTCCCAAGCCTATTTTCCCCTCATTTTCCCCCGACTGCTCCCTTGCTTGCACATACTCCCACACATAGCATATCCAGTCTTTTAACCGGACCGACAGAGGCTCTGGTTCCGGTTTTTCCCGGTCCAATCCGGTCTTAATAATTGCGTCATGACCTGCCAAGAGGCTTAGGAGATCTTCGTCTCTTGCCTTGCCTGGAGGCTCAAGAGATAGAGATCTTCGTTTCTTACCTCGCCTTAGGTCGGTCCTCGCTAGTTTCTCGGTTGTCGTCTTGTGTGGTTTCGGTGTTCGGCAAGACGTTTGCGACCCTCCTTAAGGTCTAGCAGTGATTGGTCACGCTTAGTGATGTCCGGCTCAGTGCTAACGCTTTTCTCCTAGGTTGTGTGAAGAGCTGCTAGCAGGTGGTGGTGGTGTGTTTGTTTGCTTTTTCCTGGTTATAGCCTTCCAGGGCTATAATTTTGTAATATTTTTTCTATTATATCAATATGAAACTACACAATGCCTGGTGCGGTTTTTTTTTTGTAAAAAATATTTGGTAGGCCAATATCTTTGGCAAGTTTTGGCACTACCAAAATTAGTAGCATAGAGTTTGTAGTTGTATGAGCAAAAATTGATAGCAAAACAATCATGCATAAGATACTATTGGAGTTGCTAAAAATTTGGTAGGGCAAAAGTAGG